AGGCCCGGTAGATAATTTTTCTCCACGTATTTTTTACGCGAAGAAACTTGACCACCAAATTGTATAAGCCCCGAAATGCAACAGCGAAAAATTCAAGAAATGTCTTCTAAATGAAATTTAAAAGATAAATATCACCATTGAGCACTCGTGTTAACATATTTTATGTGAAGTCAGCTGATAGCAACTTGTTTCCCAAAAAAGTATTAGTCTTATATTTATTTGCTTCTTTTGTTTTTCATGGTTTCATACGAGTGTGACAACACTTTATTCTTCCTTCCTTTCACGTGGTCTCTGTTCCTTAAAATGTTGACCGATTTCTCTGCAAGATGCTCCAACTGCAAACTTGCACGTGCTCTATATATAACTTGGTTTAATTCGCCAGCTGCCCAAACATGTTTGATATGCACCCAAGAGAGAACAATTCACAGGGAATGAAGGAGACACTTTGAAGCACGGAACTTACTTCTACCGCCATTTTTGACCTGTTAAACCCTCGGTTAGCTGTTGTTTTGGTTCATGGCGGTGCTCGATAATGATGCATCTAGGCCTTTTGGGCGTCTAACTCACCAGGCTACTTGACAAGGCCATCCTCATGTTGTCATACAGAGCTTTGGGACAGATCTGACGCAGCTAATACGGAAGTGTTTGATGGCGAAATTTTGCCCTCCGGAGATGTTTATCATGGACACCTCTTACTTGTTTCGCATTTTAATTCGTAGGTTGATGGGCATGATTGATATTTGTATTTGGGGGGGGGGGGGATGAGATGACTGCCTGTCAGCAAACTGTGGGAAAGGTATGGACTTTTTGTTTTGGGGGAGCAGGAAGAAAAAGACCAGGAATAATTGTGCCCTGAAAAAGCCAGTAAGTCTCCTGTAGACCAAGTAATTGCGCCCTTACCTGCTTTCAACACATAATTTGCAACTAGAGTTGGCCATTTTCTGTTTTAATACATCGAGCTTTGTCATCAGACAAATTATGCCACAAGACATGCATTGGGCTTATTTTTCGATTATTTGTCCCAAATTTCTTGGACTTGTTCTCCACGGTTGCTTTAACCAGCTATTTTCTATAGTTGTCATGGTTTGCTGACTGGCAAATGACTGAACTGCATATATGCACTATATTTTTAACACTGGGATACTCTAAGCTGCACAACAACTATAATATGAGGTAGATATCAGTATTAAGGAAATAGTCAGATTATCCCATTTAAAATGTGAAGTCAACATGTCAAAATTTGTCGTTAAATATGAATAAGCAAGCCTAAATAGATGCCTTTGCTGCAGCTGAAAAGGCAAGGAGCAAAAGTGACATGGTCATCTAAAAGTTATGTTACTTTTGGAGAAAAGATATCACTTTTTGGAGTATACCCAATATTGCCCTGGACAGACTTTAACCATGAAAATCAGAATAAGTTGTTCAAAGTGGCTGAAAATGCTTTGATTTGTGTGCTGTCAACTTGTCTGATGTCAACAAGCATACCCGAATGAACTGAATACAAATGCAAGTTGAAACACCCAAAATGAGCTTTATCATGTTTTTATCACAAGTGCTGCTGTCAGCATATAAGTGAGTTGAGATGATGTTCAACATATGGACCGCTCTAAGTTAGGTTAACTTGGTTAAGTGCATGGCAGGTGGCAATAGGAATTGTGCAAGAACCAGTAACTCACAACTGCTGCTGTGATACAAACAGGTTATACAGGATGAGATGATGTAAGGCCTCTGTAGGTTAGGCATAGGCTACTTTCATGGAAATAAGCATTGGTATTTTGTGAGAAACAGTGGCAAAACATTCATTTTCCTTGATCCCATCTTAAAAGAGGCCAGAGGTATGTAACCGTGTTTGACTTGGTGATGGGTTGATGTGTAGGAGTCCAAGGTTTTTATTGTTTGAGTGCGTCATGATCCTTGAATTTCTGCCGTTATTTTGTTGTTGAATTCCTTTGCTTTGTTTCATGTTAAAAAATGCCGTGGAAAGGAAGTGCAAAGTGCAGCATCAAATTATTGGTGTTACAGAGTTTTTATGCTCACTACACTGTCATGAAACTGCTATGCCTTAATGTATTCTATTTCACTTTGATGGTCTGAGATGTTAAAACAAAACAGTTTTGTCAGGTTTATGATATTACGTTCATACCAACTTGAAATAGATGGCTTTGTTTGCTGAAGCATCAGCCACTAGGTCATAAGTTTCATCTTTTGTAAAAAATTTAACCCCCGCACGGTCTTTTGCGATGGAATTTTTAACTCCCTACCTAGGCGATTCAAAGGCGATTCTAGCTCACTGCGCTAAAATGTAGTTGAACACAGAAATTATGAATTGATGATGATGAATTGATTGCACACAGAATTGTTGTGATGCCTCAATCGACACCGAACTAGTGCTGAACGGCATCGGTCATCCGAACAGAGAAAATAAATGCAATGCGTATGTGATCATTCAAAACTGTTCAACATATGCAGCTAAAAGAACCTTAACATGATCGTGTCATTAAGTCGTCGGTTTGCTTGTTTGACTTGTTTCATGTTAAATTGCGCTTATTTACTTACTTCTTGGCTACTTCACCTAGTAAAAGATGAAGTAGCAGGTATATAGTAGCAATACCCTCTCTAGTAACTAAATAACGTAATATAGAATACCCACAAATATTTTAAATGCGACATCAGTGCCACGTGGCAAATGCATATTTCAAAACTCACATATGTGCCGGTTATAACTTCTACTGCAAAAGCATGTTGGTGCACCGTTTCCAAGATGGGACAAGATTGAGCGGCGAGTATACTCTGCCGGCATTGTTACACCGAGGAGAGATGTCAGCACAGAAGAATGGGCCGGTATGGGACAGAGGACAGGGTCGATGACCTCACACAAGGCATAACTGGGGATAGGATCAAGGACAGACCAAGTCGTAATCACAGATGGCAGGACAGAAGATGGAATCGAGGCCAGACTGAGACGTAATATAACCTAGGCGGTCGGTGCCTCCCAGCAAAACAATTAACAAGAAAGGTGTCAGACCACAGGATTGCACAGAGGACAGCGCTGAGTTTGAGCACAGAACAGAACAGAGGGCTGTGGAAAAAATGAAGACAAAGACCAGGATATGAATGTCAGGAAGGAGTTCGGAGGATAGCACAGAGGTCTCTACCCTCTGGCATACATGATGGCGTGGCGCGAGGCAGGCACGCCCAGCACAACCAAAGCGCACACTCGTCCACAGGGTGGTAGTAAATGTTCTCCTCAATACGTCATTGTTTGGCTACGTCATTGTAACTTCCACAACATTGAGAGAGCCAATTGTTGGCCGTTATATCTTGGAATCATGCTAAGGAACGCCAAATATGAGCCACTCGATCAACATATCTTTCTCAGCCTTGATCGCTACATGGCTTATGAAATGACAAGACTGGAATGGCGCTATTTTCACGTCATAAATGCCAAGGTGAGGTTGAAATACTCTTGGCTCTGCACGATGTAATTAGACAAGCATATTTATTCCCTTGTATTGCTACTATTTTGTCTCGTCTGTATAATTTTGTAAGGTTTTCGAATAGTTTTGAGTGGGGAGTATGTTGTAATAGCAGCGTTGTTTTGAATAGTTGTTTACCGCCCAAGGAATTTTGGTAGTCTCCGTGGCGATTGCTGCCACCTTTTCTTGGCGGCACTGACGCCCGAACCAACGTTGAATGCGCGCCAGGCTTGAAAATACATTACCTGCCGGGATGTGGACCGAGTTGCGTGTGCGTGGAGGACGGCTGTGAGTCAATGCTCGGAAATTAGGGAGTTGATCTTGCGACAGAGTTGATTGAAGTAGCAGTTGCATTCACTGCTCGGGTACCTTCAGTAGCGCACACAAGAGATGTACAGGGGCCCGCCCCCGCCGCCCAAGGGCTCTGGGGACAGACCATCAAAAACCCTATTCATGGCTCCGAAGGGCCCAAAG